CAAATAAGGCGTCAGCATCGCACGCTTTGGCAACACGTACTACGTCACGGTCCTCCTCTCGTGGATCGTCCCCACCTACTACGCAACGGAGGCGACGTCATAGCCCACAAAGTCCATCTCCTGTGCGTTCACGTCGGTCTAATCCGGGCACTGCGTCACGATGCGCCTTTTGTAAGTCGTCAAGGCATTTTACATCTCGGTGCTACAGAGTGACGTGTAAGGAAAGGAAAAATATTGCAATCAAGGAACGCTTGTGCTTTCAGTGCTTTTCGCGCAAACACATGGTGCAAGACTGTGATGCATCCCCCTGCTCGTTCTGCGGAGGGAGACATCACAGGACGATCTGTCGTGAAGCAGCAAAGCACTCCTATCGCACAGCGCGCACGAGGTCATCTAGCCGCTCGTCTATGTCGGTTAGCCCGAGTAGAGGAAATTCTCGATCATTTCGTTCCCCAACAGGACGAGCAAGATCACCGCGACGAGAGTCTTCTCCGCAGGTTCGTACTCCATATAGACGCGGCTCACCACGACCACGTTCGGTGCGATTTCAAAGTCCTACTTCATCCCAGCACTGTGTCGAGGCAGAGCCTCATGAAGTGCATTTCGTGGGAGATCTCGTGGACACCGATAACGACAGCTGTCCATCCGACTCTGTCAACCACTGTTCGGTTTCACGACATCTCAATCCGCTATCTGAAGACCCTCGTCTGATGGTAGTTACTGCGCGAACATATAATCGTAATACGTCGAAGGTGGAAGTTCTTGCACTGCTCCTCGACAGCGGTGCACAACACAGTTTTATCAAGGAAGATATTGCGCGTAAGCTCGGACTGGCCTTCAAAGATCCGCAGCCAGTCACGACAAAAAGTTTCGGGGGACACACTACCACCGAAACTTCCTACACTGTTTCACTTACTCTTCGAGATCAGGCAGACGCAGAGATGCGCCTAATCCTGACCACTCGAAAAGTTATTACGTCCGTTCGAGCAAATGCTCATGTTTCACGTCGAAACATCAAATTACTACGCCATTCCAATAAGTCTATGGCCACAGGAGACATCGAGATTGACGTTCTCATTGGCATAGATCATTATTGGAAGATTGTCGACTTGAGCAAAACTCAAAGGTTGTCATCAGGACTTACCTTAGTGCATACGCGCTTCGGTCCTGTGACGTCCGGATTGGAAGAGCCTCGCAACAAACGTACGTATTCCAAGTCCCTATCGGTTTGCGGTTTGGAATCGCGTTCGGAACAGGACGGTCCCGACCCGGACGTTAGACAACTATGGGAGCTTGAATTCATCGGGATCACAGACAGCATGAGCCCACGTCAGGACGAGCAGGTTAATGCCGAAGTCGTCCAGCGCTATACGATACTGTTCAGGTTATTGACGGCATTATTCACGTCAGTTTCCATGGAAGAAAGAATCATCCGCGGTTAGCGGATAATAAATTTCTCGCACTGAAGCGTTTAGAATATCAATACGTGACGCTTCCGCAACCAACCAGAAGTTGTGGAAACAATATTGCGTAACATTTCAGAACCAGGAAAGATCAGGCATCATTGAAGAGGTAGCCGAGTTCGACTTTGATGGACCTCAGGTGTACTATATGCCACACCAAGCGGTCCTAAAAGCCGACAGCACAACTACTGCAGTGAGGATTGTCTTTGATGCTTCCAGTCATTGTAAGAACTCACCGAGCCTTAATGACTGTTTGCATCAAGGACCCACACTGCTACCAGATCTTGCTGGTGCATTACTACGTTCTCTTTCTTTCTTTTCCTTTTCTCCTTTTTCTTTTTCTTCCCTTTCCTTTCTTCTTCTTTCTTCTTTCTCTTTCTTCCTTTCTTCCTTTTTCTCTCTCTCCTTCTTCTTTCTTCTCTCTCCCCTCTTTTTCTCTCTTTTTCCTTCTCCTCCAACATGCGTTTGTTTGGCGGAGTAGGTTGCTAGAATTTACTCGGATGTGAAATAGTATCCTTGGTAGGATTCCACTTCAAACCGAGTAATTTTACCGTATTAGACATGGTTTTCATGCGATCTTGAGCTCGGATCTGTTCCATAACGTACGTATTATTGGACATAAATTCCCTAAGGTTCATACCCATGCGTCTGAAGATCTGCTTACATTCCCTCTGCTTCAAAATGCACTGTTCAGTACTATTTGCACCGATAAGCACATTATCCACATAGGTGTTCGCAAGAACGTCGTCACGAAGCGTATTACAGGTATCCCGTTCAAGCGCGTATTTGATAGACATATTCAGCAAAAATGGAGAAACATTTATGCCGAATACAACACGCGTGAATCGGAATATGCGGAGAGTTTTCTCGCATAGGTGGAGATGAAGTATCCTTCAGCCACAAAAACCTTGTCACGTCCCTCTGGTTTTTCTGGAGATGGATTTGATGGAAGGCTTTTTCCACATCACCAATGATGAGGAATCGTGGCAGTCTAGAACGTATTAATGCACCTGC